ACTTAATGCATGTGTACAATTTTGCAGTAGGTTAAAATGCCTTAACTAAAAAATATAATCAAATTATGGAGTTAGATATTGGCTCCTTTTTAACATTTATCCCAAAATCATTTGAAAATAGCTGTTTTAAGATTATGAGTTTTTCAATCATCAATCGAATTCTCTAGATAAATTCTATGTGATAATGACGTCTAAGTTATTTTGATTTTTGTTTGAATGATGTCTATTAAATTAATTAACATAATATCGTTTACTTCTACAATAATATTTTTATTTAGTTATTCATTTAATTAATGGCTAGCTTTTAAACAAAACAAATCAGATATTTCATGTACATATAAAATGAAGAGATTAAAAGTTCTCCAGGCATTATATTGTAACTACACAGCAAAAATAGAAAGTATTGACATAAACTGAACTCTTCCTTATCAGTTTCATTGTATACAATAGCATTACATATGTGAATAGTAATAATTAGCAATGATTAGAAAACTTGATCTGAAAATTAAAGTGATAAAAAAAAGGCCACTACTTTGGCTTCCACTCAAACACTGTGTTATAACGATCAGTCGTTTTGAAGCTAGAAAGTATTCAGAAGTTGTGCGTTACGACACAGTGCCTTAAGATAAAATTTCCATTTTGTTTTAAAAGATACAAGGGCAGTAGGTCAACAGATTTATTATATCACAGCCGATTACATACAGAGAAATGCATTAGGAGATAGATAGATGCCTGAAGGTATCATGAAAATGATGCCTACAGCATGCGTATATTCATTAAATAGATTGTTAGTTTTTTTTAATATTCTAAATTGTTACATCATAAAGATAAAATATCAAACTAAAAGGTATTAGCTTTTGAAATCTGTTTAATAAAAGTCTTTCACTCTAAGTTTTATCACTTTTTGTTATACTAATTTGAAAGTATGTTTCCTTTTAAAAGACCATGATTGTCTATTAATTCAGTCAGTAATATTTACAGCTTCATAGTTTATCATTTAGTATTTTTTAAACGAGAATAGTTGAACATTGAACTTCAAATATTTACAAGATATTTGTTCTTTATAATTGATGAGCATTTTAATGAAATCATTTACAATTGATACAGAGATGTGCATACACATACAACCCATTATACATGAGATTTCTATTTACTATCACATTCTGTACTTTTCTTGATAAAGTTCTGTAAAGCATTTTAAACGAATATGAATTTGTCACATCGAAAATGCAACTAGACAGAACTGATGTAGCCTAACACAAAAATTCAAACCCTCACGATAGGATAATTACAAAAATTTTCAATAAGAGTAATCAGTACTGGAATTTTCTGGTTCCTATCAATCAGTTCTACGATTTGAATAAATTCGAATTTTTCACTATATTAATAGGCGATATAAAAAATTTAGTGCATTAAGCTGAATTGATTAGTTAGTTATTTTTTTTTTTATTTTGAGGAAATGTTCACATAAGCAGCTACAATTGATTGATACATAGAATTATGACCTTGAAGCATTATTGGTGAAATAATTTGTTTGACTCAAATGATTGAGATTCTTAAATGTAACCAGCTTAGTATGTATTACAACTCATTCCAATATTTTGTTAATTATAGTTTAAACCCAGATTTTTTTCAATACTAAAATTCACTTTCAATCTTTGGAATTATGTATAGTATTTTACTATTACGATGTTTTTTTTAAGAGTAGAAAATAGTCACCTTATTATACAGAAATCAGTAGTGGTTAGTAGAAAAAAAATCCACAAATGTAGCAGCATGTCATCTTTAGTAAAATACTAGAAAATTCAAAACTAATACATCATTGGAAATGAGATGAGAGTGACTTTTGCTGTGTACTCACTATTCTTTGAAATCATTCATAATCGTTATTTTGAAGTATTCAAACGAATGTACATTCCACGCGTAATTTCAACTCTGTTCTCAGGATAAAAGTTTATGAAATTAATTGAATACTATTGATGTATATTATTTTAGTTAGTAACGTTTTTTAACCCATTCTAGTTTGCCTGTATTATCAGTTTTAAAAGATTATAACACTGCATTATAGCATATTTGGTAGAGTTGTTTGTATTCTCTTCTTAATGTTATGTAAGTTTACATGTCATACATTATTTTAGTCCTTATAATAGATCGCTACTTCACTCTTAACCGTTCACTTCCCCATTTTTTTGTGTATAGAAGTGCTTTCATTCTAGAAAATGACTGGTATTCAGTTGTAGTGTGTGATAAAGTATTGTGAGTATGAATGTGATTGATGACATAAGGAATTCACTACCTAAACTAACTAACAGGCCACTAAAAATTGTTAACGATAAAACATAAAATTATATGCTAGAATTATGCATCCTAGTAAGAGAATATCAGTACCTGTCACATGATTTTCTAAGTATGATTGAGTGATGGCAATAAAGCGGCTCCTATAGATTTTCACTTCAATTTCAACAGTTTTCTAATTTTCGAATGTATGAATTTTCAGTGTAAACGGAATTCGAGCCACAGTTACAAAAAAAACGTTAACTCGATATATATATATATATATATATATATATATAAATCTAGGGTGCAGTCATTGATTTCTGCTACTAAATGTTTTATGCATTTAAATTGATCCAAAGAGTAATATCAATATAAATAATCGTAAATTATTTTAACAGTTATGTTCATAGTTTACTCGGTTTCTTGATGTGTATGGTTTATTTCGACTATTTAGTATTTTTAAATAGATATTCTGCGTGTCTAAGTGAACACTACTTTGTGGTAGTCATCCTAAAATTGTATCTTTTACGTAACTGTCATAAAGTATCTGACATAAAACTAGCTTCAATACTATTCATTTAGAATCTTGATGATTGATGACTCATCAACATTTTGTAGTGTGCACACAATTCACACAAATAAAGTGATAGTCATACACAACAATTTGGATTATTTATTCCAATCAGAATAATATTAAATGTATACTGAACACGATTGATTGATTTTTCAAGTAGTTTTTTCTAATGAAATTCCTTTAAACCGAATAAATTTTATTCAGTTTCGCATTTGTGTAAGTCCTTTTAGCCAAAAGATCGACAATTGGCATAGTCGATTCGATACAACAGTCTAACCCATAAGGTGATCGCAAATTCAGTGCTGAGAGGGAACTTCTCAGAGAACAAGTCAATGACTTTAAACCGTGGAAATAAGACACTTTCGATCTTGGTTTATCATCAATCACTACTGAAATATCCTGTTAAATCGTGCATTTACTTGTAAAGAAACTAATACTAGCGACTTCAAGTAGTCTGTTCGATCAGTATATGTCTATCGATTAAAAACACGACCTGACTTAAATACATCTAATGTCAGGTCAGCTTAGGGTCATACTAGAATGGTTTAGAACATGTCACATTTTTGATAAAGATATCCGAATTACTATCATAGAGGTACTTCATTCATGAATAATTCCAACGCTGACTTAATTGGTACCAACCATTTTGCATATTATTATTCAAACCATACATTATACAAGTCTTTCTATAATAATCCATAAGATTGGTTTCTAAACAGACTTGTACCGAGTCAATCATATACGATCATACTGTCGTGTGTACTACTTGCAACGAGGTTCATAAGTAGTATGCAGTGGATATACAGCAGAATGTCACCCTAAGTAAACAGTTTTGGATCCGGATGCATGGCGCGATCAACTTTTTGAAGACTAGAAGATATGTGAAAGAAGACATCTAAGAATACGCTTGTTTTGCAAACGGAAGTTTTATGATAAGGTGTACACATTTTAGTTTGTCAACTGTGTCTCACCAACTTTGTCGATTACGATACTGCTACAAGCTTTATATATTGTGCTGAACAAATTTAAATCTCGTCAGTCATACTCTTCATTAAAGTACTATCGACTACGGCTATTCTTCTAAACTCTAGTGAATATATTACCATACACTGTGAATCATATTCGGACTACATCATCACTGAGAAATATTAAAAAAGAAAGATGACAGGACAATAACGGTGTTATTACCAATCAAAAATGAGCATTCAGTGAATTATTTACCATACAATGTTGAAAAGATATTTACCTATACATCAACAACCACAAGCACATATAAGAAAAGAGATTTGTAAAAAAAAGCTTGATTACTTTCCATGATTGATTACAATAGGTGAGTAAATAGAGTTATACAACTAGTTGAATAGAGTGACTAAATTAACTGGTTGTTTTTAAATGTAAACAGAGAGATTTTGTGATCAGAGTATGAAAACAAGAAGAAAAAAACATCGTTTAATTGATATTTAATTCCTATAATGTATAGATGATATATGTGTATTAGAAAGCGGAAATAGAAACAGAAAAAATAATAATTTCTAATAACAAATAACAACTACCTTTGTAAGCAACACAACAGAATGGTAAGTAGTTGTAGTGGTCCATGCAAAAATAAAAATATTATTTAAACAGTTTAATAAGAATATTAGAACATACATCGGTTGACTTTTTTCACTGAATAAATGAACCCACTTAAAACTTTATAAAATTCTGTCATTCTCGAGGTATGTGGTTTTTTTTATTTTTAACAACAAAAAACATTAAGAAAAAAGACTGGGATCAGTTCATATCCAGAAGAAATTCTGGGAAAGGTAGTTACTGCAAAATTCAATATAAATATATATATAAATGTCAAACAAAGCAAAAATTGATTGAGCATGCCAATAGGAGATACTGTTCCACAAAATAACAAGAATAACTAAATTAATAAAGTCAACAGAAAAAAGAACATATGTCTCGGTATAGATCACAGTACTGATTTTTCTATAGGTAGGCACAAAACACTTGATAAGTTGTAGCCGTTGTATTACAAGTAGTATATATCCGACGATTTTCTATCGATACAATGTATGCTATAAAAAAATGATGCCTAAGAGCAAATATATATATATATATATATATATATATATATATATATATATATATATATATATATATATATATATATATATAGGAAAGCACATAGGTATATAGGTATATAGTATAACCAGTCAATCAAAATTAATTTTTGTTACATATACCAAACGATCACAGTGAAATAATAAAATATATTGTTTTCTTTTTGACTAGTTTAGCTGACGTTATTTTCAGAAAAAGAAAATAGGCTAAATTAATTAAAAGTAGTACATATACAAAAGGATTTCGATTATTTTTATGTCAACTGATTGTTATCTATAGAGGAACGTGAAGACTGATTATTATTCAAGTTTCCACTTTGTTGTGATACTTTTTCCTTATCATTCGATTGAGATAAAGTAACAGCAACAATCATAATTGCAACACATGTCGGACGTGTAGAATGAATGTATGAAATACTATCTGATTTAAAATCGATTACGACTTCATGTTCTTGAGGCTTTGATGAATTCCAATCAAGCGGATATAACGTAGTTACGAATAACATTCGATTTAATGCCCTTTGAGTATAGGTTTGATCAAGACAAACGCGTTCTATAACACACGGACCATCATCATCCATCCAAACATCATAACAAGCAGGAGGTGCAATTCGACCATGAACTAAAATTAGAATGGGTGCAACTACACGATTTGGTTGCGATTTCGAGTTGCATAATTCATTTGGCCAAGAAAATTTTAGTGAAGCAGAACATTGACGGACGCTTATCCACTGACAAGGGGAGACTAATCCAACTTGAACAAGATCAGCTCTAGTAAGCCATGTTCGTACCAAATTAGTAACATTCATGGACAAACGGGCATGATGCGCTGCAATAAGCTCATGAAGTCTGCGTAAACTGTATACAGAGGGTAAGGTATTACCGGATAGTGAAATGTTACAATCCACATTATTTAACTGAGAAGAACTACAGTGATTTCCAACGCTTGAGCTTATAAGTGCATTAAAAATGTGAGATTCAGGTAAACTGGGGACATTCAGTCCATTAGGTGAGGAAGGTGTAGGAACGGGAGGAAATTGACTATCCACACTGCGCAGTTTATCTTGGAGTTCTGCAAGAGCAAGATACGATTTGTTTATCTGACGATAGTTAATTTTGGGACTTTGTTGCACAGACAAATGTGCATTCAATAGCTTCATGATGAGATTGAGAGCAGTTGTTCCGGGTTCTACCTGCAAATTAGTAACCGGAATCTGTATTAACAATTTAATAATGAAAATTTATAACACATCAATAGATAGAAAAATAAACTTTGGACAAAAAACAGTTCCGCTCAAAAAATAGACCGAGTCTATAATATTTCTTACACATTCACATTTGTAAACAATAATAACAGAATTCAAAAGTGCAGAATGAATAAAATCTTAACTACTGACACAATAGCAGGATGAAACGTGTCCTATTGCGAAATTGTCAAAGTGAAAGACTTGAAATTAGTATGAAACTGAAGATGTGCTTGAAGTGAAAACGGTGCTTTTTGGACATGGCACAAATCCATGAAGTCATTGACAGCTGGACCAAGCCATGTTAGTAGGTGTCGACTACCTGGTTGGGATCCATGAAACAATCGTAACCGATGGTTAACGAATTTGAATAACATGGATCAAAATCGTTTGCAGTGGCGCAGATGCATCCATTCTCTGTCTTCTTCCAAATCTCAATCTTCTGAATTTCCCATCACCTTTATCTTCTTCTTTTTAAAAAAATTTATTTCATTGGATTATACCTCTTGAATAATATCTTCGAACCCTGATCTTCTCCATTACTGCTAATACTTCCACAACATCTACCACTATGGGATTTGAATTGACAATTGCATCTCTGTGGAATGGCAGCTTGAACTGACTTAAGTACGCACGAAGTTATACGTTGTAGCTGACTGACTGTCCTTTGGATTGATAAGTTTGTACGTTCATTATTCTGAGTATTTTATCATCCTATAGTTATTTATTTCCATTTTAATGAAACCCTTCTTTATCATTTGAACAATTTTCCTTTTTACAACTTTTTTGTTCACTGATTAGAAGAGTGGTCAACTCAATTTTATGAGGTGATGTGTAACTTTTGCAGCATGTGTATCAACCTACATTTCAGGTAAGCCTTAGTTCCCTCCTAGAAGACTTAACTAACATTCATCATTTCATACAACTAAGAGTTGTTCCGACACTACAATTCCACAACTAAGTCCTTTGAAAATGAAACAAAAGTCATTAGGTACATATATACTCCCGCTTGGTAAACAGATTTATTTTTAGTAAAGCACTGATTACGATTTACTGATATTACGTTTGGTGTATAGTCCATGTAGGGAAAAATTGGGTTGCAATAGGACCTAAACCAATAACTCTGTAACCAATGATTTAATGGGTATTTCTTGATATACTTTTCAAGTGGGAACTGCAAATTTATATCGTCAACTAAAACAGGATTAATGAAACTCGGCGATCTTACTAATCTACAACGTACTCTCGAGGGTTAAGGAAGTTTTTAAAAGATACTAGCCGCTAGCTCATACTTAAGTGAGTGAGTTTTATTAAACTTCTATAAAATGGATATGATGCCTAGTAGTTTTAAGATAAAGAGTGGGAATTTAGACATAACCAACACATGAATACTTAAAATAGACACACCTCATAAAAGTTCGCACCAGACAAAATAAGCATGTTAGCCATATCAACATCTCCTGCTGCTATAGCCAAACCAAGAGCTGATCGTTGCCGCCGATTGGGTTCAACACAATTAGGCTTAGCACCAGCATCAAGTAATGCTTGAGCAGCATGTAGACGGCCCAAACAAACCGCTACAGCTAACAACGGCCATTTAGAATTTGGTTCAACAACTTCATTAGGATCCAACCCAGAGGTAAGCAGTCGATCTAAAACTAACGGTCTACCTGCACCACCAGTGATACATGCCAATAATGCATCCCCTTTGAAACCAGTATCTTCTTCGAAATCTGATTTATTAGAACTTTTGCAAGATTTATGCGTCTTCTCCAATGGTGGAGAATAAATACTGCTTTTTTGAGCCTCAGAGCTATTTGAAAACACGTTTTTCGAGGGCATAGTGGCGATAAGACTCCATCTTTGGTTATTAATAGCATTCAGATACTCTTCGGGCGTCTGAATGGAGGTTAAATGGTTATAGACACATAAGTGTGGTAGACACTGAAGCTCACGATGAAAGTCGATTGGTTGTCCATCACACGTCAATTGGTCGTCATTTGAAATATGCGACAGAATTAAGTTGAAATAAATATTTACAAGTGCGCGTAGTGATGAGACGCTCTGCTCATACAGGTTGTTACCTATACTGTGAGAAGTTCCTGATTGTTCTATAACATTAAGTTTAGAGGTACTTTCATTCTCAGATATCTGAATTGGTTTATTATCTAAGGACTAATCAACAAAGAAAAAACGAAAATTGTTTTAATTCAAGTCAAAAAAGTATTCTGGCATAAAAAGAATTAAAAGCAACAGATAAATAAATGCTTTACAAAACTTTTATAATTAATGGTATGAACAAACAAAAAAAGCACAAACCTTAGTGTTGTAAATTACATTTGTACGGGGTAAACAAAAGGGATTTAGGTTAAATGAGATGTTTTTAATTAACTTTGTTGAATCAGGATTTTTCGGTTTCAGTTCTGAACTCGGTTGTCGTAAAACGTCTAAACAACTTGTCATAGAGCATATCAGTAGTTAACGAAAAAGGCATATCGAACTTGATTTTTAATGATTGAGGTTTGTAGTTCAGTCAGTCAGTTACAAAGAAGAACTTCGTACGTACGTAGATAAGTTCAAGTTGCCATACAACGTCAATTCGAATCCCATAGTTGTAGAGGTAGTAGAAGTGTTAGCAGCAATCGGAGAGATTAGGGTTCGATAATATTATTCAAGAAGTAGAATCTAATGAAATAAACTTAAAAAGAAAAAGAAAAAGTGATGATAGAACGCAAAGAATGAATGCAACTGCACCACAGCAAAAGGTTTTGAGCCATGTCATTCAGGGTCTCTAACCATCGATTACTGTCAACTGGTGGGTGCCAATCAGGTAGTCGACACTTAACAACATGACTCAATAAACTTGTCTGTGACTCCATGGATTTGTGCCATGTTTTGGTCTAGGCGAACATAGATCCCCTTCAAACTATTCCTACATCGCAAAAAATAGCTCGATGAGCCAGATGCTGGTTAGGCATACGCAACATATGTCCCAAACACCTCAACTGATGACGTTTCTGTAATTCGTCTGTTGATCTACCATCCTTACTTACTACCCGTTTCAAAACAATAGCACTGCTTACTCAGATGTCCCGTGATACACGAGTAATGCTTCGGAGACATGTACGATCGAAAACCAGTAACCTACGAATATCCTCAACCATTACTGGCCATGTTTCACAGCCATATAGTAGGACGGAGCGAACTGCTGCACAATACACTCATCCTTTGGTTAGCGAACGGATATCTCGCCTACGCCATAAGTGACGAAAGTTGGCAAAAGCCAGTCGAGCCTTATGTATCCTTGCTCAGATTTCGTCAGTAACCAGACCATCAGCATTGATGAGACTCCTGAGATAAGTTAAGTGGTCAAAACGCTCAGCTGCTTCACTCCTTATCACTAGTTCAGGTGCTGATGCAACCGAATCCTGAAGTAACAGTTCGCATTTCAAAAGAAGAATCGCATCTTTAACATGCGTGCATTGTTATATACGGTAGTCAGGAAACACTGCATCTTATCAGCATCTTAACCAAGTAGAACTATGTCATCAGCATATTCTAAGTGAACCAACGAATCTACCGGTAGAAGGTCAAATCCTGATAATTCAGACGAAGCTAAAATTATATCTAAAAGCAAGTCGATGACAAAATTAAACAAGAATGGATAAATTGGACATCCCTGACAGACACAACTTGAAGTAATCAATCAACCTCAGCTTCGTTTTCCATCTCTCTCGCTTTCGCTACCCACCACTGTTCACGATCGTCGCATAAGCTTTTTATCACCCCGCGCCTAGGCTGACTCCGCTCCTCATCGTACTCAGAGCCGGGCGGATTGAGCTGCCAAGCATCCATCAGTTCCGTAAATGCTACTGAAATCAACCTCTTCTCTCTAACCTTGTGGTTTACCTTACTAGTAGATATCAGTGATGATTTCACAGCTTTCTGGATATTATTCCAAGCTGCCTCAGGGTGGACATCACTTACTTCGTTGTCTAACTGATTTTCTAATTGTTCCTGAAATATATTCTTAGCTATGCTATCATTAAGTAGAACCCTAAGAGGTCTCCGTGCAGTGTCTTTCCTACATTCAGTAAGCCGCATACAGATACGCACTCGCACTAGAGAATGATCTGAATCTAAACATGTGTCCCAGAATTAGCGACAGTCTTCTATGCCATCCCTCCAATGGTGGCTGATAGCGATGTGATCTAGTTGGGTCCAGCGTTGGGACGAATTCGGGGATCGCCAGTTCAAGATATGTTTTTCCTTGTGCTTAAAGTCAGTATTTGATAAGAATAGGCTGTTATCTGAACATAGCTGCAGCAGGCGGTCGCCAGTATCTGTTCGATCAGCCGCGACACAATAAGATCCACCAAGGTGTCTTTCCTGTTCACTGAGTCTACCCACCTGGGCATTAAAGTCACCTGCCATTATTACTATATCATAGCGCTTAACGTTTTGAAGGAGGTTAGAGAGGTTTCTGTAAAACTCATCTTTTATCTCGTCTGAAATGCAGTCAGTGGGAGCGTAGGCACAAACGACGAAGAGGCAACGGCGAGTGTTCCTATCTTTACGAGTCCTTACTCTCCCGTTTAGTCGGACAGCGCACAATCGACTATCTACTGGGATACAGTCTAAGAGAGCTAGTTTTGCTATACGACTTAATACTATACCTACACCAGCGAGGCCACGGGAAGCAGCATCAGGACTTCCAGACACACGTAGCGTAAAACGAGTTGATTCTATATCTGGACAAGGTGAAATCGAACTAATGACTTTACTCGGATCCTGTATGCGCGTTTCGGAGATTGTGACCGATTTGGTCTCGCCTGCTGTTACGGGTATGAGGGCGGATATCACTTCCCGGCTGCCCACACCGTAGAAGGGTGCTCCTTCAGGAACCTGAAAAGGAAGGTAGATTAGTGTTGGTCTTAGAGACCTGGGAGCGTGCCTGTAGAGCCCAAAGGACAACTGCTTGAATCCGGTCACACACGGCCTTTTAATGAGAAGTATTTAAAGTGTTGGCCTCGCTCTTGTTTAAAAAGGCCTTGCTGCCGGAGACGGAAGTCCGTGAGGTAAGGTGAGGTGTGACATTTTTAGGGTCGACCTTTTCTAACCCTTCCTTCCTTGTGAGAAGGCAGCATCACTGCAGATGCTGGTTGTCCGATAGGAACACCTTACTGCTGTCACATCCCTCTACAGTCAGCAGTACGACTTCGCTCTCAGACCGTGAGTAGCTGCTTTCAGTCTCATCGTTCTCCAATCGACCTCCCTGGCATGGTAGAACCTACAGGAACATATATTCCAGCCAATATAGCTCGGTTGGGTCATCACGATAGGCAAGACTGACTATCACGTCAATGTAGCAGCTACAGTCCAGGGGTTGTAGTTAGACCTGAGTGAAATAATTATTTTTGTAATTTAGTGCACTTTTCATTCAGCATAAAAAGTTTAGAGCCTGTAAAATGTTGGTTAAAAGTGAAACAGAACCATTTCTATCTACAGAAATATTATGCAAATTGAACAACTGACTCACATGTGAACATATTGGAGACAATCCAACATCTACTTTGGACATAGCATTACAGAGACAAAGGTTGCAAGATATTCCTTTTGACGAAGAGTTTGAATAGGATTCTGACTGAACAGCCTTATTATTGAACCTTGAAATGATATCTGGTTGGTGCGATGGAGAAACATTTGTAGTAGCTACATTTCCAGTGGTTTCGGTATGATAAAGTTCAGAGCCACCCAAAGGGAACACTGATTGTCTCTGGCCATCACCACTAAACGAACAGTTAAAGTCTTGACAGGATTCATTAGTGCTCAAACATGAAAATGATGGTGATACTGGCTCACGTTTCGGAGAACATGCTGAGAAATGTTCCATGGATGCATCACACTCTAATTCTGTCTCGCCCTGAAGACTACCATTCCGGCTCTGAGTAGATTCATTGCTCACAGAATTGCTAGCAGACTCAGCAGCGCAGCGCTTGCGGGTTTTAACACGTGAATAAAGGTCATTTGAGCACAAATCGATTTTCCCATCACGAATATCGTCAAAATATTTCGTCTTTGAGGCAACCAACTGATGTTTTGGAACATATTCATATCTTCCACTAGTCCGTGACTTTGTACAATGCTTACGCTTCACAGAGTTATTCAACTGTCGCTCTTCACTCGAGCCTCTCAAGCGATCGTGTAAGTTTTGAAGTACTAAGCTTGGTGTAGCAGGAGGCGTTGGGACAGAAGCTGGACAGTTCTCGCAAACACTTTGACAATCTTTATGTACATCTAAGTTATCCGAAGTTTTGTTGTTTAAGTTACTACTGAACTCTGAAATTATATTCAACACATTGGTGAGATTTTGTTCTGGTTCCCAACTATCGGCTTCAGGCGGAAATCCTTGCCAACGCACTTTGTAGTACTTCTGTCCTTTAATAACTCTTTCATCACGAATACTCTCCACAACGTACACTTCCTCCGAGTTTGAGTCAAAGTTTTTAACATTAAAAGAATTTCTTTTGTTGGATGATTTTGAGCCTCCTTTCAACCTTAGATAGCGTCGTTGGCGGCGCCTACAAGCTCGCAGTTGTTTTCGCATCTGTGTATCACCAATGGACGCCATATATTATTCAGAGACATAACCCTGAAGTAAAAATACTTAAGTTATTCTAATTGTTAGAGTTACATCTTACATGTCCTAGGTAGAATACGAATATTTTGTTACAAATTTAAGTTTTCGAGTCTGCTGTGTTATCACAACTTTCCTTCCATGAAGTAAATATAAAAAGATACTACCCAAATGGATCAATAATGCGAGTTTAAAGTAGGTTTGTTTACATGAGTAAAGGACACATTATTATATCAAAATTGCACTAAAATCACTTTATTAACACAACTCATGATTTGAAGAACAAAGAACCTGTTACACACTTACAGTAGGACATCACAATGCTCAACTCACGAGAGTAATTTGGTGATGTGACCATATCACTAATTAACTGTTAGATTCAGACTATATTTTACAGGGAGAAACCAATAAATTCAGATGATGAGTTATAGTGAGTAAGGCTTAAACTATATAAAGGCTAATTTTCATTAATTATAATCTGAATTTATCCTAACAGATTTGAGAGTGTAGCTCGATCATAATTATTAACATGCCCAGACGACGAAAGATTACGCAGTACGAAATGACACATTTAAAAGGGTCAATCCTTCTACATTTTTAAATGCCAAAAATATGATGTTAACAAAGAAAGAAAACGTAAAAATAAAGGATGTATCGTAGAAAAAAATCGATGTAATATAACTAGGTATTAGGAGTTTAGAGAAAGGTAATGCATGAATATGTACACGACACTGTAAACCACTGTGGAAAACGCCTTAGTTAAAAAGGTTATGCAATCACATACACAATCATAAATCACACTTTTAGTTTCAACCAACAGTTCTAAGCGAGAACAGACTTTTATAGTTGAGACTTCAAATAGGCCTGTAGGTAAAACGTTTAGACTAGAAAGGCTGAGTGATGAGAACATTCCTCCAAGATTCACTTGAATCATTAAGGAAGAACTACCAGGATAAATGAAAAGATCATATGAAGGTACTGCGTGGTGCCTCCGACCATAGACGCATTAGGAATTCTAGTGCAAAATGTGTTTTGAATCGACTCTTGATACCTTAAGAAACTCACAAAAACCTGAAATCCGACCAGATTTTTGACATCTCCCTGAAAACCTGTCGCATAAGAACTAAAAACACAATTAATGCTTTAGAAAATCTCTTTTTTGAAACTTCAGGATGATTAAAATAGGTTATTACTGTAGTAACACCTAAGGTCATTGACTTGAGTCAATCTAAGTTCACTACAACCAGTGCATCGACCTCAAGAAAAATAGAAAAGATCCAGAAAACTAATAGGGTTTAAACACACATACACAAATATGTATATACACTAGTGTGTAGACAGGTCACAAGATTATTTTCAATACAAAGATCATATGAAACCGTTCTGATTTTAACATATCGTTATAACGGAAAGGGCATATGGTTATGACATATTTTCTTTCAATACTACCATAAATCAGGCTGATGTTGATGTAGGATTCCGAAAGGAATAATGAAGTACTCAGAGATCTTATTTCCAAACGTAAAACAGGTGGTGCAACCTTTGATAGTTACTATACATGCAATAGACCAAAGCAAAAGGAAGCTACAAAACACTTTCCCATCAATATGAATAATCAAAAAATTGAATTAGTAAGTTAGATCATAACTAACTGACTGTATTGCTATGAGACTCACGTTTATAAATTATGTACAGAACAATGTACAAAGAAGCCGCTGGTGACATTACCGATTAAAAGCAAGAGACATGGTAACTCAGTCGTTCAAGTCTACGGCAGCAGTAAAATTATTTATTCTGTGGCTTAGTATGATTATTACGGCCATCTTTGTCGTGATAATTCAAGATTACTGCAGACTACAATTTGATAGCATATCATGACTGCTTCAGTATAGTCCCACGATAGGAAAATAACAAAATCAACAAAATTAAGTGGTTAGTGCTAATAACTCTTAAGACATCTGGAATATTAAAAAATTAACGAATATCATTCAATGCTGTGCACTTTCCAGCGACTACAATAAATACGTTAAAGATCAATTTCACGAGAGGCTGGAGTCAATTGTCCCGCAATGTCCAACAAAGAACTTCACCATTCTGAAAGGAGACCTAGACACCTAGGTCGGAACGGACAACACTGGATATGAATACATCATAGATTAAGAGAAAGGAACGAAAACAGTGGGAGATTCCCGAACCTATGTGCCTTCTACAAACTGGTCATTGGCGGAAACATATTCCCACACAAACGCATACACAAAGCTACATGGATTTCACCGGATCACACTATGGAGAACCAAATCAATCACATCTGCATCAATTAAAAGTTCAGAAGGGCAATGGAAGACGTAATAAAGAAGATAGAGACTGATATAGTTGTAAATCATCACTCGGCAATTGCCAAGCTAAAATTGAAGATTAAGGGACATAAAACTATTAGGTAAGCAGCATTACAAATGTTTAATACAGCCTTCCTTAATGCGAAACCTTCCGGATTCAATATAGCTCTCAGTCACAAGTTCCAAGCCTTACATGATCTCAGACAAGCAATCACTTTGGTGAACAACTAGAAATGAGATTTAAGAAGCAATAGATTGAACTTGTCAACTAGTACTAGGCTACCACAAGCATCAGCATAAAGACGGGATTTTCACAGATATCTCGGGAAAAATTCAAGAAAGAAAGAATAAAAAGACAACAATGAATAACGGTTGAACAAGAGTCGATAAAGCTAAGGCACAAACTGAATACGCAGACGCAAACAAGCAAATAAAATGGAGTATCAGAGCTGATAAATGTAAATATGTGGAAGATCTAACCACTACAGTGGAAAAAGCTGTAAGTTAATTAAACGGTAGACAATTGTATGGTAAAACATACAAGCTCGCTGAAAAATATCGTATACCAGAACGACCAGACAAAAACAAACAAGGAAAGTAATCACCGACAATGAAGAACAGTGAAACAGGTTAGCAGAGCACTTTGAGGAGATCTTGAATGGGCAGGCCCTCAGTCATCGAAGTACCAACCACTGACCAATGCTCCTGTGGGGGCAATATACGTGTAGTGGTATACTTTTACGAAGAAAACACAATTGTTGAAATATAAACATTTACTACTGTACTTAATTCTGACAATAATTGTTTCATTGTACTCCTTTTGTTCATCTGTACTAAAAACTAAAGCGTGTTACCCCCATTCAGTTTCTCCGCGTTTCTCCTACGTGGTCGTTAGCTACTTGCGTACCCTCTAGCGTCGATATTATTTCGATATCACGAAGCTAGCAATAAATATACTTCTTCATCTACAATCGCCTTTTCTTTGACTTATAGATTAACGGGATTAACATTTGTTATCCCGCGAAGTTGTATGTTTATTTGATTCTACTATAGATGTAAGTAAGTAAGTAGTAAGATGGTCAGATACGAAACTAGCGCATCCACTAGAAGGAAAGAAGTTCAATTTCAGAACTAGCTTCAATAGAAATTACAAATAGTCACAGATGGAACAGTAATGAGGCATTCAAAGTGTAAGTTAATTAATGCACTCATTTACCACAGGCTGTAACGAAGCTGTGTTTTATGTCAGCGCTAGAAATCGGTAATATTGGCTTTCAAGGCCAATCTAACATTTATGTTAGATATAAATAAAAAATATATATAGACAAAAAGGAATTTAAACCTTTTTGCAAGCTATGCGCATTAAAATCAGGACTCGTTTATGCAAAAATAGCACCATCCCTTTGATTAACGTAAATATTCCTTAGTCCTTAATGTGTTTTTGTCCACTTTTGTTTGATTTCCAGTTACGAAGTTTTTGACTCTGTTAGTGTGATATCGAAAGAATTACTTTGCTTTAGCGACACCTCCGATGATAGCTTGATTTTCACTATTAATTATTAAGAAGGTCAAGAAACAAGATATTTTCAGTGAGAGGTTTTATTTAGTTAATCGCATTACCCATGATTAGGCATGAGCATAAGATATTTAAAGACAGTAATTTTCAGAAGGAAGCTCTTAATAAATCTCTTAAGGTATGGATTTATTGTTCACGCTTATAAGAAAAACTATCTTTTGGGTATAACATGTTATAAATTATTCAAATAAATTCATTTGTAGAATCCGTCTCCAATTTCTTTTTCATCACTGTGATTTAACCTAAGAATAGTCTTCTGTAGCATTTATTTTAGAAGTACAATATAAATGTGAAGCGACTCCACATTTATGAAGTGAAAGCGATTCTTCTAATGGAAATATTCATTATTACAACCAACTGTACAAGCGATTTTTTTATTGCACTCTTTGTTTGCTTGTCCTCTATATGCGCAAACTTTCTGTTTGTGTTGCTGCCATATCTGGTCATAATGCTCACTGTAAATTCGCTTTTTTTTTCTCTGGCACGATTTCGGTATTCGTTCGAGACCACAAAATCGCTAGCAAATATATTTTCTTGTATGGATTAACTCTTCTTCTCAGTCCTTGATTCACAGAAATAATACACTTGGTAACAGGAACGAACTGGTCTGTATTGGTGATCATAGTCAACCGCGACTAGAGCCACCACAACTGATTTTCAGTGTGATGAACCATTAAGTTCTTAAGTTATTAATAAGCATTAGATCTAATTGGCTGCTCAACAATCATCATTTATTGCCATAAATTAATGCCTTTCAAAGCAACTAACCTTGAAGGAGGAACATTTTACACAGTCTTGTATAGATTACAATACATGGAAATGGATTACCACTCCAGATCTGACGCTTGACCTTAGGCACTAGCATGACGTGATAGTCAGTCTTGCCTATCGTGATGACCCAACCGAGCTATATTGGCTGGAATATATGTTCCTGTAGGTTCTACCATGCCAGGGAGGTCGATTGGAGAACGATGAGACTGAAAGCAGCTACTCACGGTCTGAGAGCGAAGTCGTACTGCTGACTGTAGAGGGATGTGACAGCAGTAAGGTGTTCCTATCGGACAACCAGCATCTGCAGTGATGCTGCCTTCTCACAAGGAAGGAAGGGTTAGAAAAGGTCGACCCTAAAAATGTCACACCTCACCTTACCTCACGGACTTCCGTCTCCGGCAGCAAGGCCTTTTTAAACAAGAGCGAGGCCAACACTTTAAATACTTCTCATTAAAAGGCCGTGTGTGACCGGATTCAAGCAGTTGTCCTTTGGGCTCTACAGGCACGCTCCCAGGTCTCTAAGACCAACACTAATCTACCTTCCTTTTCAGGTTCCTGAAGGAGCACCCTTCTACGGTGTGGGCAGCCGGGAAGTGATATCCGCCCTCATACCCGTAACAGCAGGCGAGACCAAATCGGTCACAATCTCCGAAACGCGCATACAGGATCCGAGTAAAGTCATTAGTTCGATTTCACCTTGTCCAGATATAGAATCAACTCGTTTTACGCTACGTGTGTCTGGAAGTCCTGATGCTGCTTCCCGTGGCCTCGCTGGTGTAGGTATAGTATTAAGTCGTATAGCAAAACTAGCTCTCTTAGACTGTATCCCAGTAGATAGTCGATTGTGCGCTGTCCGACTAAACGGGAGAGTAAGGACTCGTAAAGATAGGAACACTCGCCGTTGCCTCTTCGTCGTTTGTGCCTACGCTCCCACTGACTGCATTTCAGACGAGATAAAAGATGAGTTTTACAGAAACCTCTCTAACCTCCTTCAAAACGTTAAGCGCTATGATATAGTAATAATGGCAGGTGACTTTAATGCCCAGGTGGGTAGACTCAGTGAACAGGAAAGACACCTTGGTGGATCTTATTGTGTCGCGGCTGATCGAACAGATACTGGCGACCGCCTGCTGCAGCTATGTTCAGATAACAGCCTATTCTTATCAAATACTGACTTTAAGCACAAGGAAAAACATATCTTGAACTGGCGATCCCCGAATTCGTCCCAACGCTGGACCCAACTAGATCACATCGCTATCAGCCACCATTGGAGGGATGGCATAGAAGACTGTCGCTAATTCTGGGACACATGTTTAGATTCAGATCATTCTCTAGTGCGAGTGCGTATCTGTATGCGGCTTACTGAATGTAGGAAAGACACTGCACGGAGACCTCTTAGGGTTCTACTTAATGATAGCATAGCTAAGAATATATTTCAGGAACAATTAGAAAATCAGTTAGACAACGAAGTAAGTGATGTCCACCCTGAGGCAGCTTGGAATAATATCCAGAAAGCTGTGAAATCATCACTGATATCTACTAGTAAGGTAAACCACAAGGTTAGAGAGAAGAGGTTGATTTCAGTAGCATTTACGGAACTGATGGATGCTTGGCAGCTCAATCCGCCTGGCTCTGAGTACGATGAGGAGCGGAGTCAGCCTAGGCGCGGGGTGATAAAAAGCCTATGCGACGATCGTGAACAGTGGTGGGTAGCGAAAGCGAGAGATATGGAACACGGTGACGACTGTTAACAGTAGACAACTACCTAGACTTATCAGAGAGACCGGTGTTTGGAATCAGAATGCGATTGTAACCTTTTCGGAAATTGATGATAACCCTGATGGGATAGGTAGATGAGCAGAACACTTCAGGGATCAATTCAACTGCCCCACAGCCTTACTTCGATTACCCAGTCATTTTGAATTGCAAATCGATGTATATCTTCTGATTCTAGATGAAGTATAAAAGGCTATAGGAAATCTGAAGCGAGGGAGAGCAGTTATCGCAGTTATTCGTATTTATCAATGTTTATTTTAACTT